AAAAGACAGTTCCTGTACCCTAGGGCTCCTTAGGGGGTCATGGGCTTTCTGGCAAAGGTTTTGGGCTTTGGGGGCTAAGGTTTGAGATCTCACTACGAGGGTACACGAGCCTTAAGGTAGTAGATGTAACAAACCCCATAAGAGCTCTTGTTAAGCCCTACCTTCAAACCCACAACACCAACCTGCGAATGCTCTAAAGGGATCCTTACAATGGACTCCTGGATCCCTGCTTGGAAGACATACTAAAGGGGCCATAATCATTAGAATAGGGTTTTGGGGCCCACTATTATCCTTAAAAATAAGGAACCCCCAAAATAGTATTGATCATTAGAATAAGGCTTTGGGGCCCACTACTACCATTATAATAAGGAGCCCCCAAAGTAGTTTTGATATTTACTGAGGCCCCTATATTACCCGTGCAAACGAGGGTGCTGGCGATAGCTGTGGAGGCTGCCATCCTGTCAGGTGGTCAGGCCAAGCGAGCCGAAAGTCCGGAATTTTGGGTTGGAAAGGGGCCTGAATGCTTACAACAGTAATCATAGCAACAGTAATCCCTAAACCCTAAATCCTTAATGATAAGGACTATGAGGATTTTGCTAGAGGTGTCTTAATATTTCAAGAGAGTTTGGGGCATTCTTATTGTAATAGGGGAAGCTAGGAAATATTAGGGAATATTACAAAATACAAGAACACTACGTCGGCTTGTTCCGACTCCTGTACTACGTAAGGGTTATAAGGGTTCTTCACGGTTTAGGTCTTGGGGTTCGGGGTTCAGGAATCCGTTGCCGGGTTCCTTTCAGATTTCGAAGTTGTGTACCGGTTCCATGCGGAACGAAGGGGTTTAGGGCTCCAGGGTTTAGCTCCGGACACCATGTTTCTTTGCTGCTATGGAGGTACTTGGAGGGTCATGGGACTTAGTAAGTATGGTTATAAGTACCTGAATTAGGGTTATAAGTAAGTATAAGTATAGTTACCATAACAATAGCCCTAGTTACTAAGTCCCATGATCCTTTAAGCACTCTGTATTTTGTTCACCTTGAGCTGCCAGACATCACAGCCCGTAACCTTGCCCTTGCGAGTGTCCATCATGCAGACGGAACCACAGTCCCATGCTCCCATCAGGGAGCCGATCTAGTATGATCTAGTGAGGGGGCCGGGCGCTGTACGAGCATGTCGGCTGGCCGCCTTCGTGCAGCATCAAGGCCTGGGAACAAATGTGATGCCTCAAACACCAGATGCAAACCACCCCGCTTGCAATAATCGAAAATGAAATCTCGGATCTGATTGTGCAGTGCCGTAGTGTCTCCACCCGACAGGCAGGACGAAGCATGCCGACCCACTGAGTCCGCAACCCAGCCACGAAAAACAACACGTGCCTGCACCAGAGCTCACGTCGACCCCCAAGCGAAGTCGCATACGAAATCGGAAGCATTCGTCCATCTGTGTTGATTCCGCCAGAGGCGAAAAAGCCCAAGGCCAGAAGCCAGGTAGTGCAATAAACAATCCAAGCTAGCTTGAGCTGCCTCACGGCATCTGTAAACCCCAAAGGGTCCTAGGTACTGTTATGGGAGATTCTTCCCCAAATCATAAAAGTAATTCCTAGTATAGAAACCCTACATTTTACTATACAGGTACTTTGGACCCTTTGGGAACAGAAGCCCGGGTGCTCATACCGAGGAATGTAAAGGGAACTCCAGAAAGTTGGAATATGGTTTCAGGGTAGGATACCTTATAATTTACCATAGAGGGTTTAGGATAACCATATTCCAACTTTCTGGCTTTTACTTTATGTAGACAATGGAAGACCCCAACGACGGAGGCGACCATGAAGCTGCCAACCATCGAAGAAAGCCACCTGGGACGCCGCAGCTGCTCATACCGTTCGCATGAAACGCCCTGCTGCCCGAAAGCAAAGTTGCCGGTCATACTGCTGGTGGACAAAATCCTGCATGACCCTTAGGACTCCAAACTATGGGATCTATGGTATATTCCTTATAATGGGTAATGCAGGATTTTGTCCATCAGCAGTACCGAAGGATGCGGTTCCCTTTGAACTTTGATACTTTCGAAGATCTACTATAGGGCCCATAAACATTAGCATCGGGCTTGGGCCCGTTTGCCCATAATAAGTATTCAAGGACTATAAAGTAAAAGCCAGAAAGTTGGAATATGATTATCCTAAACCCTTTATGGTAAACTATAGGGTATCCGACCCTGAAACCATATTCCAACTTTCTGGAGTTCCCTTTAAGGGGATGCTGTAACTAAGACTTCCCATATCGGTTACTCTAGGTATCTGAATCTAAACGAACGCTATAAACCTCTTTGCCCTGAATTTTCAACCTCTCAACCCTGGAAAGACACTCCTGGAGGCCTCTGCGATGAAGTTAGCAGGCTCAAGACCCTCAAAACCCTAAATCCCCAACACCTCCATCCCAAAACCCAAAACCCCTAAACCCCAAACCCTGAATCCTTTGCCCTAAACTATCCCTAATCAACCCCAAACCCCCAAAACCCCTACCGCCTAAACCCTACACGGCCCTAAACTAACCCTAGACACCCTGAACCCCATACATCCTAAACCGTATAGACAGCAAACTAACCCTAAACAATCCCTAAACAACCCAAAACCACCTACACCCCTACCGCCTAAACCCTACACCGCCCTAAACTAACCCTAGACACCCTGAACCCTATACACCCTAGACGGTATAGACCCCAAACTAACCCTAAACCCAAATGCTGAAACGACGCCTCCGGGATGAAGTACGTGGGCAGCGCGGACAGCTGGAACTTCGGCTGCAAGGCCGCCGGACAGAAGAACTCATTAACATAAGACCTCGGTTTTAGGGGTTCTTATTAGGGCTTAAAGCGTTTAAGGTTTTGGGGTTTAGGGTGTAGGGTTTTGGGTTTAGGGTGTACCTAGACCTCACCAACTGTCCTCTAATATACTAAGACCTCGGCTTTAAGGGCTCTTGTAAGGGCTTAGCTCAAGGGTTTAGGCTTGGGGGCTTAGGGTTCGATAAGGGATTATTCAAGAAAAGAACTTTCACTTGCCTTCGTGAGGGCTCTTCATGAAAACAGGGCTGTTAGGATTTGGGATGCAGGGCTGAAAGGGTAGAGGGTTCAGGTGTGTAGGGCTTCAAGGGTAGCAGGTGAGGGTTTAAGACCTCTGTGGGTTTCCATGAGAGTCCAAAGAGCTTTCGCTAAGGTTTGGGGGGTGGGGGTAGGACTTCGGGCTCTATCAGGGACCTATCAGGTCATTCACATAAACCTCGATGGGCTTTGCGGGCTGAGGGCTTAACAGGGTAGAGGATTCAACTAAAATTTGAAACTTCCTGGGCAAAGGGCTTGAGGCTTTGGTTCTGGAGTGTAGATTTCAGAGTTTTAAAAGGTTTCCGGTCTAGGGTCTGACTTGTAGCTTCCGAGGCCGCGCCTGTCAAGGTTCACCATTCAAGTTTGCTTTGCTATAGTTTGGAGTTTAAGCTTTTGTTGACGGGCAAACTATTTGTATGAATAGACTTTCGGGCTTGGGATGTGGGGAACGGCTTCTTGCATCGAACCTGGCTGGAGCTGAGGGTTGTTTAAGGCTTCCGGCCAGACAAACTCCGCAAGTTTTGTGTTCAGGAAGACAGCAAACCTACATCCGACGGGCTCTCAAAGTTCCACCCGCCTTAGGCTTTACAGATGAAGCTTCTTGTTGATATGGGTGGTTGTCAAAATCATGGTTCCTTTTTGGGTACCCTAAAGGTTAGGTGCCGTATTACAATAAAGACCCAAAAAGGGACCATAATTTCGACAACCGCCCATATGGTTTTATATGCAAACAATGTCCATCAAAAGGTTGCGCCGGCACCTCTCGTCATCCAGCAGTCTGAGGCCCTAGTTCACCTGGACATCCTAAATTCCAGAATCTGAACTTTTAACACCTCAAGCCCCAGGTGACGACAAGTTTTGGAGAACTAAAAGCCCTACAGCCTTTTCCGTGCAATACACGGGCTTTTCGGGTTTCTATACGGGTTCGTCGGTTCTACACAGGCTTCTATATGGACCTAGCGCAAGGCTCACAATCATCAGGATAAGGTCATGGGGTATGTCAAAGTACACCTGAACCCTAGTCATCCTGAACGCCAAGCCGTAAAGCCTGAACCCAATGTGGCTGGGATTCAGTAGGTATGGTTCACCCTGAACCCCAGGCCCTAAGGCCTAAACCCTACTTGGAGGATCATGGGATCTAGTTGGCATGGTTAGAAGCACCTTCGTTGGTGCTAGATATACAATTACTCCAATATTAAGCCTAATTACTCAGTCCCATGATCCTTCATGTAACTAACCCTAAAACCCCCCTGATAGATTGCTTTTGGATACCTTTCCAGGTGCCCTTTAAGGAACCCTAGGACCTAAGACTCAGCCCAAAGCCCTACACACTAAACCCTATGAACCCTAATCCCTATGATTGTAATAAGCCCGGTTAAAGGAGCCCTTTACAGGGCCCCAAAGAAGCACATGAGCAAAAATAAGGTTAGGGATATCCGGTATAACCCCCCTTATAATGAAGCCCAACGAGGTAGGGATATCCCTATAAAATGCTTATGCTTATGTGCTTTTTGGGTCCCTATCTTTCCCGTTAATTAAAAGGGAACCCTATCGATCCCTTAAAGGAACCCCAGAGATCCCTTAAAGGGAACCCTTCAGATCAGCTCAGGCCTGAGGATGCGGTTGTCCGGATGCTCCGTGACTCGACCACCGTAGTTGGCCTGATGTGGGTAGTATTGTTACTCAAAGGATCGTGGGACTCAGTCACTAGGGTTATTATTAACGTAACTATACTTTTATTTACTTTTAACCCCAATTAGGGTACTTATAACCATACTTACTAAGTCCCATGATCCTCCAAGTAGGGGGACCCCTTCAAGGGTACCCCTTCTGAGCCATACTTTTGGCTCTCTTAAAAAGGGGCCTTATTGAGAGGGTCTATATCACCAAGGGTCCCCCTAATCCTAGCTCCCATGATGCCCAACGGCTTGGGGTTTGAAGCTTTGGGGTCTACTTGGAGGGTTCCTTTTAAACGGGTACCATAGGGTTCTATATTAGGGTTCCTTAAAGGGATCTAAAAGGGTTCTACTTGGAGGACCGCGGGACTTAGTAAGGGATCTATAGGGTTCCTTACAGGGAACTATAGGGTTCCTTACAGGGATCTATAGGGTTTAGGGCTTAGGGTCTACTTGGAGGATCGCGGGACTTAGTAAGTATGGTTATGAAGTACCCTACTTGGGGCTATAAGGAATTATAAGTATAGCTACCCTAATAATCACCGTAATTACGAAGTTCAGTGATCCTTTAAGTAGGGACCTACGGCCCACTTCCCAATGGCCCACCGCCGCTTATGGCCACCCACCTCCGCCCACCCTGTGCACTCTGAGCCTTGCTAATGGGGCCACGAGGTGAGGGAATATGTAGGTTTCCTAAAATAGGGGACCCTAATATGACACATCCAAAAAAACAAGGACCGCAAAATAGCGTACCCCTAATTGTCGGAGACTCCCATATTGAATTGTTCAGCTCTAGGTGGACGACGCGAAGCGTTTACAACAAATAGAACAGGGTTCAATGGGATAGCTGATAGTACCCTAAGCTTCAGGGACCTTATTATTGAGCCCTTATGCGGTCCAGGGGTATAGCTATAAGGTCCTTGGCAGCATAGGATTACGGTAAAAGTATGGCAAGAAGCTCTGAGCAAGAATATTGAACATTAGTTAGGCTGCTGCCTATGTTATCCCAATGAAGGTGGCGCTCGCGCCGGGGTTAAACAACGGTGCTGACAGCCTTGTTTGACCCCAATTACTTTTACCATGAGTTCCGTTATCCGTGGCGCAAGGCCGACTGCCAAGCCCAGGTCCCAGACCAGTGGCAGTAGTAATTAATTGCACCGTTCCTGCTCCCGGCCGAAACCACCGCAAACAAAAAGCACGTCCTAAAGCACAAACTCTAACCCCCAAAGCTTGATACTACACCGTGAACCCTAACAAGAAAGATGCTTAAGCCTCCGAAAGCCCAAACAACGTGCAAAGGTCAGAGTTGAAGGTTCAAGGTTTAGGTTTAGAGCTTCTGGCGTTTACACCTACGCTCCCAATAACTTCAAAAGGGGGATCAATGAATGTATAGCCCAGCTCAAACGCCTTCATTCTATAGCCGCCATTGTACGTCCTGGAGTTTTGGTTAGCCGTTTGTTAAAGCAGCGACGATCCGAGAACCTTGAAACCCTAAGCCCTTTAGAAGCCACTATTTTGGAGACGATTGTGCTAGACCTCCAAGCCCTGAACGGAAGCTTAAAACGAACTCTAAAGAAGGCTATGGGCAAGTCCCAAAAACTCGAGTAGTATAAGGGCCTTGCGAAGCTGAGGACTACTCCTGAGGGCGACTAAGGCCCCCCAGACCACTGCAAAACTCCTTTAGAGGAACCCTTACAGACACCCATTCTACCTAAACCCTACATTTTATGCTTCATTATACTTTCATATATAACACTATTACTATGTTATACTCTACTATATTAGAGGCGCTCGCTCTAGCTTCTCTTTCTCCAAGCAAGCCTGCCTCGGCGATGAGGTAGCGGATGGCATCCCAGGGAATCTCGTTCGGATTCTCCTGGGTTAGTTTTCGGGTAAGAGGGTTTAGGGGTTTTAGGGTAAGCTTAGGGGGTTCAGGATTTATCTTGCGCAGACCCCTGGGTTGATCTCTAGTAGAGTTTACATTAAAGCTTGAGCGACCACGATTTCGCTGTGAATAATGCTCGAGGGGGTTAAGGTTCAGGGCTTAGGGGCGGTGTTTACAGTTTGTGGTTTCAGTGTGACGTGCTACGGATCTATGTATTTTTTCTGCACGAAACAAGTTAAGCTTGGGCAATCCCTATTAAGCATAATGCATAATACCAACACTATCGTTACTAATACTATTCCACTATGGAGGTATGTATCCTTACTAGTACCATTGTTACTAGTGTTAAAATTGATGTTACTGTTGATACTATGGTTACTATTGTTGCTACTGCTATTAGCTATTCATGTCATGTCTATGGCTACTCTTAACCGTCTTGTTTAGTATTACTATTGCTGAATACTAGTTACGATTATTTCCTGTTGAAATCCTTGCTTACCCTAAAGTTCCTAGACCTTCGCAGTGAGATCCCAAACCTCAGCCCCCTAAGCGCAAACCCTCGCGCAGAAAGCCCCTAACCCTCTTAGGAGCCCTAGGGTAGGTACTAAGCCCCAGGATCCTTTAAGTAGACCTTAAAACCCCTCTTATAGATCCCTTTTTGAGGAGCCAGGACCCTCTTAGGAGCCCTGGGGTATGAAAAAAACAAACACACCAGACTGCGACCTGGTCTCGTCCAGGTACATCGCCAGAATGTTTTCGCCTTGTTTAGGGCGGAAGGCTTAAGATCTAGTTTTCGTAGGGTTATTTAAGGTTTAGGGTTTCAATCCTTTTAGATCGGGCATATACTGGCTCTGGTTAAAAAACCTAATCTACATTTCCATAATGAAGATCTTTGGTACCTACTTCGTGTTCCTTGCTATGGCAACTTGAATTAAGTTCCTTAACACGAACCCAGTGTCACAAGGAGGACGGCTAGCTCGACCCTTGAAGTTTTAAAACCGTCCGCATCTGCCACATCATCAGGGGTGAAAGCATCGTGTCCTGCATCTCAAACAGCGTCCGGACTGCAGCGTGCCGTGAGAGCGACCGCAGTGATCGAGACCCATCCGCCCGACATCAGGACATGCTCTCCATCCTTTGGAGGTTTGTGTGTGGCACTGGCAAGTGTCTGCTCTCCACACCAAATCGTCTCAAGGTTCCAATCGCAATCATGGTCGGTGGTCATAGCATTCGTGGAGAAGAACATCCCCCCATTTGCATGTTTGAAACTTGCAGCTAAGTCCATCGTGACGGGTTTAGGGTAGACTTAGGGTTGGGAGGAAGCTCAGAGTTACAACTGTTTGCATTTTTTGGGGTTTTGGGCTCAAGGCTCCAACATGCCCAGCTAAACCCTAACCGTGGGTGTAAGGCTTGGGGTCACTGGGTTTTCGCTCAGAAGCTTGGTTTAGGCTGTCATAGCATGGACAGCTGACTTGTCATTCAACTAAGATGGAACCTGTCATTCGTGCAAAAGCTTACACTAGGCTCAAAGCCCTAAGCTATGAACGCTTAACCGAAAATCCTAAAGCCCTAAACCTTGCGCCTTGAACCTTAAACCCTAAAGCCCTGAGCCTTAAACCAAGCCCTGCACACCCCAGTTAAGGGTGTAAGGGTCTACGGGTTCCTCTCCCCATGCATGACTGGGGTTTTGGGGTAATTATGCTCTAAATAAGTAGATAACAAAGGGAGTATCAAACAATTACAACCTCCATGTTGCAGAACTACTGTTGATGGACAAAATCCTGCATGACCCATAATAAGGAATATACCATAATTCCCATAGTTTAGGGTCCTTAGGGTCATGCAGGATTTTGTCCATCAACAGTAGTATCGTAAAAGCACCTATTGGGACCCGGAAGGCTTGCACAAAAGCAGTCTGAATCGTAGGAAAGCCTTCGTAAATTCCCCCGAATAGACCTCACTGAAACTTAAGAACGAATCTCTACCTACTGGGTCCTTTTGGACAGGTTGGGGGATCCCAGATTATGTCTGGGGCGCAGATGTCGAAGTCCGAGTCGTTGAAATCGTAGCCGATGTTCCATCCCAGCATCTTGAACCTCACAGTTTCAGGAAGATCCAGGACGACAGGACATACCTCAACCCCACAAAGGCTGCATGTTTGCGGTTGTCGTCTGTGGCTTCCTTATGTGTGTGTGTATATATATATATATACACATCTATCATGGAAAAGCCGATGTTGTCGCGGTTCAGTTGGGTCATGAGTAGGCTGAGAAGTTTGGAGGGCTCCTATACCCCGACTCATTCTAGCTGCATCCTTACTTTGGAGGTTCATGCATAGTGCCAAGTAAGCCTTATGAACAGGACGACTGCATCAGGGGACTTACAGCCCCACTTCTAACTAGGATGGCGATGCTCAGTCTGGGTCTGTAGCTTTAAGAACCAAGAACACGACATGGGGCGTTATACATACATGCAGACATATATAAACGCACGCGCGCAAACACAAACAGACCACGCATGCAATGCATGCAACGTATGCACGCATGTATGTAGTTGCGTCTGTACTCATAGCGTGTAAGTCTGCTTTCATGTGTTCGTTGCTAAACTTACCTATGCTGCTGTCGGCAGCGCTTGTTTGGCGGTGCGGTTGAGGCAACCCCCTGGAAGTAGATAGTAACCGAGTAGTCAGCATGCTGTGTTCTTCTAGAGTTCGCGCTTCTAGGGACATCCGTGTCAGTCGCCTAAACCCTAATAAGCTGTATGCAACCACCCTTAAGCCTTAACCCCTGATGCCCGAAGATTGGCTTCTTAATCATAGTGCGACATGAAGGCTCTCAGACTAACTTATTTCGAGTACTATCCCCGAGGCACGACTGTTCCAACATGTTAATTGGCAAACAGCCTGCACTACCCTACATAAAGACATCAAACTATGGCGGGTTGGTACAGTCTTTACTATCGGCAATGCTGGATCCTGCCTGTTAGTCAGTTCATCATACCCTCCCGCCAACACACCCCAAACCCTAAACCCAAAAAAACCCTAAACCCTCAGGCGTCGAGAGGCTTCTTGCGCTCCAGCAGAATCGCGTGGAACCAACAAAGAGAGAAGAAGAGCCGGCGATACTTCTGGACCTCCTTGACCCGATTGTAGCTCTCCTGGGGACGAAATGGGAGTTTCCGAAAATTAGGGGTACCTTTAAATGGATGCTTTAAGGGTTCCTTAAAGGGACCTATAAGGGCTCTATAATTAGAGGGTTTAGGGTTTAGAGTTTTTGAAAATTCGGTGTACCTTATTGTGGGGTCCTTATAATAAGGATCCTACTATTTAGGGTAGTATATTAGGGTCCCCTATTTTGGGAAACTCCCAAATCTTAAAGAGTGCTTCCCAACTGAACCAAAGGCCACAGATTTGGGTTAAGACTAACCCTAAACCCTAAACCCTAACCTACCGGACCCCAAGAAGTCTAAAGCATGGCCATTGGATAACTATCCCTAAGGGTCCGTGTACCCATATCGAGATACATGGGCCCCAAAGTGCCTATATAGGGACTACATTAAGGGCCAATGTATACACTATATGAGCACATGGACCCTTACGGTATGTGCATCATCATCGGGCGTTGCACCTAAATGTAGAAATGAGGAACCAAGTTACAAGCACTTATAACCCCAATCAGACTTGCAAAGTCCCTGATCCTACAAGTAAATCACACGATGACCCTGATACCCCAAACAACTGAACCGTAATCATAAAAAGCTGAACCCTGCTAAACCCATCAGCCCTAAACTCCGAAACCCTTAAGCCCCGATACCCTAAACTCCAGGCTGTCGCTAAACCCTAACCCCCCCTAAACCCCTAAACCCTGAAGCCCGAAACCCCTGCACCTCTAATATAGGAGCCTTAATAAATAGAAGAATAGGGTTTGCCCACTGTACCATATCTGTAATAAGAAACCACCAAATTTTTATAGGCAATTCTTCAGGCCTCTATATGAAACCCTAAAGCCCACCGGAGCGCAGGCTTTGACCGGAAGCCCACATATGAGAGTTTCCGATAATTAGGGGGTACCTTTGAAGGGATTCTTTAAGGGCTCCCTAAAGGGATCTTTAAGGGTTCTATAATTAAAGGATTTAGGGTTTAGAGTTTCCGAAAATTAGGGGTACCTTATTGATGGGTCCTTCCAATAAGGATCCTACTATTTGGGGTACTATATTTTGGGTTCCCCTGTTTTCGGAAACTCCCATATTATCTCTCTGTACCGAGCTACTTGGAGGAGGGGATAGGGATCGATATCTTAGATTTTATAGAGAGGAGGGCATTGGGCTCACAATTGGAGTTCAGCTCAGATTTTGTAAAGGGAACTCCAGAAAGTTGGAATATGGATTAATGGTAGGATCCCCTATAATTTGCCTTAAAGGGGTTACGATAATGATAATCCAACTTTCTGGCTTCTACTGTAGGTCTTGAAGTTTACGGTGTGGGGTGTAGGGTTTTGCGTCCAAGGTTTGGAATTTGGGGTTTAGGTTCTGTGTAGCGATGCTTGGCTGAGTCTGGGACTCAGCAAACAAATATGAGTGGCCAAATTGGGTATAAAAAGTGATAGCTGCAGTTTCCTTATCTATGGTTTTCTGAAACCCTAGTTACTAAGTCCCATGGCGCATGATGATCCCAGTACTCGATCACAGCTACAGCGCAATGACGAGAAGAGCAAGTAGAGCCAGAAGACTGTAGAATCAGGGTGCAGGGTTTCCTGTTTAGGGATCATTGTCCGACTGCACTGAAAGTAAAGCAGAGAGTCCAAGCACTAACCGTCCTTGCTCCTTTTCAGCTGTTTGCGGCGTAGGGTTAGGTACATATGTGTGGGTGTATGTACCTGTCTGAAATGTGCCCACAAAGTAACAAATACATACATCAAATGAACTTTAGTACTTTAGTACATATTACCCTCATACCACGAACAGTGAATCCTAAATCCGAAACGGTGTCCTCAGCGGTGTTCTGAAGCAGCCGCACGAGGTTTGCCTTCAAACCCTTGGGCGGTTCCGTAGTCCTGAGCTGGATTTTGGATCGATGGGCAAGGACAAGGTGGGAGAAGATGGTACAAGCCTACTGAAGGGCTTCGTGGGTTGAGGGCTTCGAGATAGTATCCACTTTTGTCCCTATACAACTTATGCTTCAATGTGCTCCGACACCCTCGGTCGAAAGGGCTCAGGGTTTGGGGCCTTCAGGGATAGAGCCTTTCAGATTCTAACGTGTTGGAGATGCTTGGGGGATGAGGGGACTGTACAAGTAAGGCTAAAAAAGTGCTAGCTGAGGTCATACGCAACTCGTCCACAGTTACCATATTTGCAAACCTCAATTATTCCTCCCTCAAGTCTACCACGGCTATGGAGTACAATAGGGCCATGATCCTCCCAGCACGGGTCTGAAAATATAAAGGAAATATAGCGCCCCTGCTCTGCGTCTAGGTTCGGGGTTCAGGGCGCGGAGTTTAAGGAGCGTCTGCCCTGGGTTACGCGCTAAAGCCTATAGATTTATGGCTTAGGTAGAGAACATGGCAAACATCGCAAAGCCCCCACAAAGAAACACGACAAAGCTACTCGACGGCTCAGACGACTTTGGAAGCATAGTTTGGGGAACGGGTAACCACCGTACACTACTATGACATTAGGTCCCCCAAACCATGATTAGGATGATCTTCTGAAGCCAAACTCCATAAGGGTAGTATATGGACTTTCTGGGTAGTTTAGGCTGCTACATTGGACCATCTTGTCTGATTCTGACCGCTGCTTCGACAGCTGAGCTGCATCTTGATGCAGTTCTGGAGGAGCTGGATCGGGAACCTTGGTGTCGAAGCAGGGGTTTAGGTCAGGCTTAACATCGGGGGAGGAGAGGGGGGCTGTTAAGCTTGAGGTTTCAGCGCAGTAGCCTTGAACCCTTATCACTGCCTCCAACAGCCTCACCGGAAGATGTCGGTCGGTGCAGTGCTTCGCTGATCAGATTCGGTGGTCCAAGAGTCATAAAGAAAGCTGAGTGTGTACATTCTTCTAGGGACGGTTCCCCTAACAATGACCCTAATTACGAGGTCCCATGATCCTTTTAGTAGGTTTGGTTGGGGCCTTCGAGCTTCGGATGGTGGCCCACTTAGGGCATTCAAGGACGAGATTCTTGGATGACCTGTTCTGATAGTCAAAATGTGTTACTTGAGGTGAGGGTACCAAGAAGAACGCTTGCATGCCAAACATTCGACAATGATTCGTCAGACTTGAGACATTCTGTCTCAAGGGTCAAGAGACTAGGACGTTGCTTGTATGTACCCTGGTTGGGGCTATCTCCCTGAACCCTGCACCCTATAATTGTGGGTGGTCCCCAATATAGTACAGCACCCTGTTAAAAAGGGTTTAGCGACCTCAATCTAGAATAACCCACCCTAAACCCTAGAACCTGATCCGTCAAGCGTGAGTACACTCTGAATCGGCCAAGCTGCTTGGGAGTCGGCGACGAGGACAAGAAGATGCGGAACTTCTCATGAGGCCCCTGGTTTAGGGTTTTAGGGCTCAGGGTGGAGGCTTTAGGGTTCAGGGTTTGGGGTGTTTTGCTAAACCCTAAACCCTACACCGTGCATTGCAATCTTCCCCTACCGCGAAATTAGGTGTAAGGCCTTCGGTATTCAAGGCAGCCGGGCCCAACAGCAACTTATGCTTGAGAGTTTAAAGCTTGAACAAGGTAACGAGGCCTTACCCCAGAGATTGAGAGCCTCCCTAAACCCTAAGCTCAAATAACCCAACAACCCAGCATCAGTCCGATATTCAACAAATCCTACAGCCGGCTCAGGATTAAAACCTCCACATCAGTGAACTCAGCCTTGTTCTCAGCAAGCCCCACTCCCTATGGATCGAAGGATTCATATATTAAGGCTTTTGGGCTATTTGGTTTGGGTTTAGGGTTTAGGGTTTAGGGTTTAGGGTTTAGGGTTTAGGGTTTAGGGTTTAGGGTTTAGGGTTGATCCCGGGGACTGAAGCTTACCACAATCCTAATGTAGACAACAACAGTATATCGCATGGATCATCGGACGTTGCAACCGCTGAAGCTGGGAACGGTCAGGAATACACTAAAGGGGCATAATTTCTAATATTTTCATGTTTTGCTATTTTGAAAAAAATTACCTGGATAGCCCACTTGGAGGTTCATGGGACTTAGCTGCTGAGTTTTTATTGCGGTAACTGTAACTATACTTATAATCCTTATAGCCCCGATCAAGGTACTTACAACCGACTTACTATGTCTGTCCCATGATCTCCAGGTACACTGCAGCGGGCCCAAATAGGTCAATCCAATGAAGTATTCGAGTTTCGGGTTTAGGGTATCTTTCCGGTACAGGATGGCTCTTTTGCCCGGCTGTTGAATAGTGCCTGGTCACGAGACTCTAGCGAGGAAAGGAGGCGCCACAAAGTACCAAACACCTGAATGCGTCAACAATCCCACAAACCCAATCACCTTTTCCCAAAGACCTTTGTAAAGCCTGAACCCCAACTCATTTAAGCCCTACCTGGAAAGCCATAGTTGATGCAAAAAGTTGAAACCCGCCACTGGTGGCAAGTTTTTGCGCGGTTGCAAAAATCACCTCACCACAGCATCAGCCAAAAGAGGAATGGATCGTGCCCCTCACTTTCATTAACACAGCTTCGCCAGTGTACCTCGTACAGCTACAAGAGTTCCCTCCGCCAGCTGTCACTCAGAAATTAACACTCCGCAGCAAGGTAGAGACCTTCTTCCGGCATTTGACCGGAGTTTGACGAAGGACTTAACCACATGCGAAAAGCATTCCTGTCGAGCGTCGGCTGGCACGGAACGTCCATCAACATGTGCTACATCAGGTTGGGATTGAACCTAGCCAATGTTTGTTCGCGGGGCATTCCAGCTCAGCGGGTGTACAAAGAAACCATGGCTATCGCAAGCGGAAGTTTTGAGGCCTGGTATTCTTGCGAAAATGCGTGTCATGCCTGCGCAAAATCTGCACAATATGCGGCCTACGGTTTTCTGCGCCACTTCTGCGGGTTTCTGCGCCACTTCTACGGGTTTCTGCGGCACCGGGCTGCCTGCAAAAAATGACGAATTTGTTTTTAAACTGCAAAATATTTTGCTTGGGCCGTTAAGTTTTCGCCAACAAATGCTCTGGCACCTTCACCAACCCGAAAACTCTGCACAGGGTTTGCATCTAAAGAGCGAGCAACGCCTCAGTCAAAGGAGGGTTCGCGTGTGCCGCTTGGACATGTTCGGGTTCGTCACAGCTTTTCGGTCCTGAGCCTGGGATTTTCAGATTTGTAGCCCAATGTGATGTGGACAACCTCTGAAGGCAAGATGTCTATACTCGTTTCTGATCCTTTCGGCGCCAAAGGGGTAGCCGAGTGTTGTGATTCGCTGCCAGGCCCCACATTTGTTGTCGGTTATCCTAAAAACATCGACTGTCATGACTTTTGGGAAGTAAACATGCCAGTGGCAACTTTGTGCCTCCAGTGGCAACAATTATTGCAACTACGAGTTTTGAGTGCGGTCGCAACAAAACTGCGCAACTTCGGCGTTCCAGGTAAGCCTGAACCCCAAACCACAAACTTGATTTTTCCTAATCCCTAGACCCCAAACCGTAATCCCTAAACCTTGATCCCTAAACCGCATTCGGGAGGCATCGTCGAAGGTCTTTTCGATCAGCTTTTCCAGCTTTGGCAGCCAATGAACGCAGAGGTGGCCTCGGTTTCGGGTTTTTCATTGAGGGTTCAGGTCGGGGTTGAGGGGTGGGGGTTTAGGGTTTACGGTCTAGGACTTAGGGTTTAGGCCTTGAGTTTAGCGGTTTAGGGGGGAGCGGTTCATGGGCAGGTTTTAGTAGGGTTCTGGGTTTCATCATTTTATATGGGTTATGACAACAGTTATGCTACTTTTAAGCCCTACCTATAACTGCACATCAACATCCAAGTAGGGTCCAGCAGCCTTTATTCGGGCTTTGGGCGGTAGCGTTTGTGGTTTGTAATAGTTTCGGGCTTGGGGTCTTAAGAATTCTTATAAGATACGAGCTCAGATGGCCCTTTTGTCCAGCGCTTTGCCCGCCATTTTAATGACATGTGGGAGCGAGCCATATGCGGTGTGAATTCGGCTATGAAAACCTCTTGTTCAACAACCGGGCCCCAAAAAGATCAAACTTTCTAAGACAGAGCCAATATATATAAACCAAAAAGTTTAAAGTTCCCCCAGTTCCCCCGCTCACTATATATCTAAGGAAAACTGAACCTTCCCACCGTCGACGCTTCGACCTCCGCTTCCACGCAAAACTTCGCTGATGCTCGGACGGTTGGTGCTCCGAGATGTTTGAAGTACGGGGCGAGATCGTCTCCTCCGATTACAGCGACGGTGAATAGGGCGTTTTCGGCGCAACTGTTCATCAGAACAGATATGGATTTGAGGAAAAACGTCCATGGGGTACCGGACATAGAAGAGCCCCACACGGTCCCAATTTGGCGGATGAGCTGGACTTGCACCACCACTGTTGCACCACTGTTGTGGCAAAACGCCCGCGCGTGCCATCCAACATCAACAATGATAACATAAACGCGTTGGACACGGAAGGCTGTCAACCAAAGCAAACTCAATGCATGCCATACTGACGTGTGTCTGATTTCAGCAGCTCCTATCGACAGCCTCAGCGTGCCCAGGCTGCGGGATCGGCAATGCGCTGTCATCGTTAGCGCGAATAAAGGTGGAGCACGTGGTGCTGTGTGACCTATTCAAGCCTAAGACGTCGCAGCTTGTCCCTAGCCCCCAAAACCCAAACCTTTCCCCAGAAAGCCCATGACCCCCTTAGGAGCCTTAGGGTAAACCCTAAATTCTCGATGCATGATGAATGAAGGTCTGGAGCCCAAGTGCAGAAATCCGAAACCATACCTATACCCCCCTACTTAGAACCATAAAAAAAAACAATAATGTGCTTAATGTTCTCTTGGGTTTGATATGAACAAAAATGAAAGAACACTTCGTTAAGGACACTTTCGATATATATTCCATGATACTCCGTCTTCCTGGGCACCTAAACAAGCCCCGAATAAGAATCCGATGCATAAACCCTGTAGGCCCTAAACCTGTAATCCCTAAACCCTGAAACCTTCGTAAACTCTACGCCCTTAACCCTACGCCTTTAAAGTCTGCGCCCTCAACCCTAATCCAATAACACTACGCCCTAAACCCTGGCCCTGAGCACTTTACGCCTAATCTCTAAGCCCTATAAGCCTACACCCCCAAAGCCCTCAACCCAAAGCCCTAAACCAAAAGCCCCAAGCCCCGAAAACCCTGAATCCCTATAGCCCTCAATGACTCAAACCCTAACCCCTCAACCGTGAGGCCAAGATGCAATTCGCCAGCAGAACCCAAAAGCCCTTCTCGGCCCCGTCGATCCTGAACTCATGGCTTTGACTTTCCGTTGAGGGTTATTGGCTTCGGGTTCAAGGAATTGAATTCCGGACAACGTTTTAGGGGACCAGGGATGACTTGAATCCTATAAATCCTTCCTGTTTAGGCTTCATCTTTATGACTTCCATATGAACTTCCTCACAAAGGTAGGTTATGCGGGGTCCAGGTAGCGCTTGGGGTTTGGAGACTTACTCCTCAGTCGGACTCATATGGGCCCGTAGAGTTCGGTGAGATTGAAACATTCAAGCTTGTGGCTGTGGATGTAAGGGATATTTGGGGTGGCGGTTTCATGTTCGAGATCTACTGCTTGCGCGGGGGGGGTAGGGGTGTGGGGGTAGGGATGGTCCTTATGCCACATGTCGACCTTAGAATGCAGTACTGTGTATGGGATAATCTGTGGAATGCCGACCGCTTAGGAAGATACGGTACATTCATTTCCCAACAATAGACAGCTGCTTAGTACGATGAGGCCTACGTCCCAAAACTTGAACGACTGCTGATCACGAAGCCAGACATGTAGTAGGACATCTACGAACTCCAAAGTTAGTTCTTCCCAAAGCGCCAAGCCAGAAAATCAGACACCAAAAGCCTTACTGACTAGCCTGTTACACGTGCAAGAAAGCTTTGAAGCACTTCCTTCGGAAACCGTCCGGTCCATTAGACTCACTCTCATACAATCATGCGCAAGCTTAAACTCGTCGATTAACTGCCCTAAACCCTGAAGCCCCGAAGCCCTAAACCCAAGACCCTAACCCTAAACCCTAAACCCTGAAACCCCAAAACCCTAAAACCTTAAACCCTAACCCTGAAACCCTAAACCCAAAACCCTAAACCCTGAAACCCCAAACTCTAAAACCCTAAACCCTGAAACCCCAAACCCTAAAACCCTAAACCCTAAAACCCTAAAAAACTAAACCCTAACCCTAAACCCCAAACCCTAAACCCTAAAACTCAAAACCCCCCAAGCCTGCGAGCCGGCTTTGCGCCGTCGCCATAGAAACAACAAACAGACGGAACAAAGCCTGGGTCAAAGAAATCGCTCTTTCAAAGAGTCCAAGGTACCCATATGATAGAATGTAGGGTTCCTTTAACCGGAGCTTCCGTCAAGGTTTGGGCACGTATCCCCCATATAGGTACTTCGAACCCTTTGGGTCTTGCAAACCTGTCAGACTTTTTGGGACTCCTGCAACAAACCCTGTCGAGACATATGAACAAATAGGTTTTTGGTACCGCGGGTGAACCCTAGGCTAAAGCCCTAAAGCCTACCGAAACCCTAGAAGCCCAAAACCCTTCCCACCCTGCTGCGCATGGCTTGGAGCGTTTACATGCGGGCAAGACACATCATCTTCGTTGCTTTCCTTTCATCAGGGGGGAGGGCAGGGCTCTCAGCTTGGTCTCGGGTGGTCCCACCCTAAGCCCAGAGAGCCCAATACCCCTTAATTAAGGAATATGGCTTAAATCATAATATGAAGCCCTATATAATTTAAGCAATATTCCTTAATTAAGGGGTATTGGGCTCTCTGGGAGCTTCCCTATGCTTGTGTAGAATACACCTAGGCCTTGGAGTAGCTATTAGGGCCTAAGTACATACTGGCGCATGGGTTCTAAGGGCAAGCAGCCAAAAAGCCGGAAATCTAGGTAGGTGTCGGGTTTAAGGTGTACGGTTTAAGGTGTAGGTTCTTGTTATTCAAAAATGCAGTGGTTGGTCTTTTGCGGCTGCACAAACTACCCATGTTAGGTTTCGAGTCTAAGGATCAGGTAACAAGAACTTTTCTCTGTCTGGGACACGAGACCCTCCTATTTCTCTTGGAAGAGGCTGGGTTGTGTTTTTTGCAAGGCGGCCTTGATAACGTTCGGGGTTTGACAGCAGCAGGGTGACCGCGAAACCTGAACCCTAAACCCAAAAAGACGAATTAGGCCGGTTGGGCCTTGGGCACCACTGGTCCTGCAAGTAGCCATACGACTTAGCAGCCTGAAGCCCGCATAAAACATACATATAAAACCTTCACCAGACACGAAAACCCTATTATGAGGCCTTAAAAACAGCTAAAAAACAAAAGCCCTAAGCCCTATAAGACCGTATGACCTAGAATCAACATAAACCCCTTTCAATTCTCAACACAAACAGGACGCCAAACCCTACGCACAACAAACGCGATACATGAAACCCTTACAACACCGTCTAAGACTCCATAATCCCGAACAAACCCTACACCCTAAGCCCTTTAGCAAAACAAACCGTTCAACAACCGACCAAAAATACTGCTTAACGCCCGCATACCTGAAAATACAATGTTTTAATGTTTGGATTAGGCAAAACATCAGCTTGAAAAGCCAAACACTTCCTAGAACTCTAAACCCAAGAAGCCGTAAACCCAACAAACCCTAAGCCCTGAAACCCTAAGACTTGTCTAAAACCCTACCTGAACCCCAAAGTTTGTCTTAAGGGAGCCCTTCGGGAACCCTCAAAGAAACTCTTCAAGGAGATCTTACCCTAAACCCCATATATAGGGGCCTTGATAATTTGGCGAGGGTTTTGGGGCCCATTAGACAAAACTAACAATAAGTAACGCCCAAAAGAATACAGATAATTATTAATGCGGCCCCAAAATACAAACTCTTGTAGATCCCTTATAGTAACCCTGGTCGACCCCTTTAACGGAACCTTAGGAACCCCAGACCCTACCCCCAAAACCTACGGGAGGACACCCCCAACATAGTAGAGGTAATTATTCAGGCCCCTATACTATAGTACCCTTATAGATCCCCGTATACACCCCTGTAAAGGACCCTAGGAACCCTAGACCCTGTACAAACTCTAACCTCTGAGCCCTAAACCCAACTAACCCTGAGACCCTTAAACACTAAAACTTTATAGAGCCCTTCAAAGAAACCCTAGAACCCGAGGCCCTACCCCAGAATCCTAAACCCTAAACCCAACAAACTCCAAACCGCCAAGGCCCCTAACATAGAACCCTATTATAGATCCCGTATAGAACCCTCTAAGGATGCCTTTAAAGAAACCCTAAACCCTAAACTCAACTAACCCTAAGACCCTTAATCCCTAAAAGTTGCTGCTAAGGCCCCTACAGTAAACCCCCATAATACCCCTTATAGTAATCCTTCTACTAGATTATCGTACCCTCTAATGGGTCCCTCTAGAGGAGCCCTGGGAAACCTAGGCCGAAGACCCTTAAACCGCAAACCCTAAACCCAACTAACCCTAAGACCCTTAAACGCTAAGACCCCTTTAAGGGAACCTGGCCCTACCCTAAAACCCTAAACCCAACAT